GGCAGAGGCCCTGTCCCACCCACACCCACCCCGTCGGCCCCAGGGCCTGGGCCCTCTCCAAGGTGCTGAAACGAGCAAGGCTCCTACCTGGCTCCTGTTGGCCTCCTACCACCCCCACCCAGTGCCAGGAGCACTGGTGCCCTCGCTTCTGATGTCGGCTCCAGAAGCGTGAAGAGAACTGTGCGGGGAGGATGGCACGGCCCTTGGGCAGATGGACCTTAGCCTTGTGCTCACCTGTGCCTTGGGCAGCTGGACAGTGCCACTCTTCTGAGCCTCAGTTTCCCCCACTGTCCAATGTGGCTGGGCCTGGATGGGGTGGGGTGATTCCTGCTTCTGCCGTCCCTGGGCTCTGGATTCTGTCCCTTTGCTGCAGTGCCCCTGACCTCACTTTCTTCTTTGCAGCCTAAATGAGGAGGAGCAGGAAATGAATCTGAGGTTAGCAGAATCCGAGTGTCCTGAGGGACCTGTTTGTTCAGGAATGCACGTGTGTGTGTGTCCATGAGTGCATGCATCTGACAGTCAGGGAGGCTGTTGCAGGAGAGGGTGTGAGTGGGCGCCCACTGCCCGACCTGGGTGTGCCAGTGTCTGCTGGTGGTGGTGGACAGGGCTGTGGTCCGGCATGGCCCGCCGAGGCCTGTGTCGGTGTGGTGTGTGGACACATGTGTTCTGGGGTTATTCCCAGCAGCCTCTTCTGCTCTGCAGCTCATTAAGGCTCCCCCATTATTCTGACATTTGTGCGCATCACGTACCAGCAAGAAGTAATTTACTTAGAAGAAATTAAAAGTTCATTTTAATTGAGCGCACACTGCAGTATGCAAATGAGGACTACATTATATACACTGATGCAGAGACAAAGCTGCAATCAGTGCTTAACCCTCCGCTCGCTGGGCTCCAGGCTCTGGGGGACCCTCGCCCGGGCCCTCTGGACGCCTCCAGCCCTGGGGTACACTGGGGTCCCCACTGCAGAGGGACGCAGCAGGCAGTGAGGATGGACTTCCCGTGAAGGATGGGTCTGCTGGAGGTGGGGCTCGGCCAGGCCTGGGGTGCAGCGTGTGCTCGAACTTGGTGCCCTGTGCTCACTGGCAAGAGGACAAGACTAAAGTCCCGCAGGCTGGACCCAGTGATGGTCACCGCATGGGCCCTTTCTTCCTTGAAGCTGGGTCTAGCGCCCCCTTGTGGTGTGGATGTGTCTTACCTCTCGCTGTGGCCTTATGGAGCCACAGCTAAGAGCTGTTAGTAGAGTGTCCTGAGTCATGGGGAGATTTCCAGAGGTGGAGCCAGCAGTAGCCCAGCGTTGTGGGGTATCCTTAATAGCTCAGGCACCTGGGCCACCTGTCCCTAGCCCTGGGGGACCACCTCAGGGGCCCCTGGCCCCGGCATAGGAACGGGGCAGGATGGCCTGAGACCTGCTGGGAGCCACAGGTCCACAAGGCTGGAGGTATCTGGTCCCAGCTGTGTGACCTGCCTGTCCAGGACCTCCGGGCTCCTTGCCTGGTCTGTGGATGAGCAGTGCCCACCCAGTGACCTCCATGTGGCCCAGCCCCTGGTGACAGATGGCCGGGCTTCCCAGCCTTCCCAGGCCTCTGCCTCCCCCTGGCCCTGTGGTGCTGGGGCAGGGCTGAGTCCTGGACCTGCGGAGGAGCAGCTCCCCAGCTGCAGTGGGTGCTGGGCCCTGGTTGCCCTGGATTCTCCCTACCTGTCAGGCCTGGGGGTTTTAATGACAGTGAAATGAAACTGGTTCACAGATGTGTGATGACAGCCAGCTGTGGAGGCAGACAGATTACCTCTGAGACAGATCCACCTCAAGGGACGAGGTGGCTGGAGGGCCGTGTGGGAGCTGGCTCTACTGCCTGGGGCCCATTGCCCCAGGGCTGCCCTCCTGCCCAACAGGGGGTCCACACAGGCCCCAGCCCCAGCCCTCCTGCCATAGACACCTGACAGCAGTTGTGGGGAAGAGGGGCTACTTGGCCCCCGGCTGTGGGAGCCCAGGCCTGAGAGGAGAAGCCTGTGTCTCGCTTCCCCCAGCTGGGTTTGGCTGATGCACTGGATTGGGGTTCAAGAGCTGAGCCCTTAAAGGAAGCTGCTTGGGACTCTGTATCTGTGAAGCCTGTGGGCCCTGCTCTGGTCCTCACCCTGCCTCCTAGGCTGAGTCTGGGAAGGCAGAGGGAGGAGAGAGAGAGCCCAGGCTTGGATGAATGAGTGTAGTGTTGGGTCTGCAGACACAGCATCCCTTCTGACCCTCCAGGTTGGGCTGAGGCCACCCTGTGCCCCAGCGCCTTCCCTTGGCCGGGATGGAGGCAGTGAACCGGTTCTGTGCCTCCCAACTCCGGGGACGCCCCCACCTGGGATGGCCTCTTCCTGGACCTGTTCTTTCCCTCGGACCCTAGCGAGAATGGCGGGCCATGCTGCTCTTCAGATGGAGGAAGCCACGGGGACCTCTGTGCTCCTCTCCCGGTACCAAGGGAGTGCTGGCAGGGCGGCTGAAGGACAGCAGGGCTCGGAGGCAGGCAGACACTGTGTGGCTTGGCCTCACTGTCTGCTAGCCTCTTGCGTGCCAGCACCACCTCCTCTCATGACCAGTGCTCTCCTGACGTGGGCCTCCTGGTGTCCCGAGTCCTGCACTTCTGCCCGACCCTGGCTGATCTCTGCCACCTCACCTCCTGTCCTGGGCAGTGGGGACCGGGGCTCTGCAGCCCCTCCCACAGCGATGCTCGTGCCGCCCTCCACTTCTGTGCATGGCCCTGGTCTGCCTGGCGTGTGCCAAGCGGAAGTGGGGGCCTGGCCTCCCCGTGGGTGTGCTGACGGAGATGGGCAGGGGCAGCTCCTGAGGTCACGGGTAGCCAGGGCCCTGCCACCATTTCAGAGCACAGTCTCTGCATGCCTGAAGCTGCCTGCTGGGTCCCAGTGCACCACCCAGATGGGACAGAGTGGAAGTGTGTGCAGCAGAGCTCCAGGCAGGTGCTGTGAAGACAGCAGACACGGTGTGGGCACCCCGGGGCACGTGGAATGGTGTCATGGGAGGATGTGCCCTTGGGCCATGGCCCGGTCCCTGTGGTCTACTGGTGTCTCTTAGTCTCCTGCCCTTCATTGCCAAAGCCACGAGGACCTCTTGGTGGGGCCTCTTGGTGCAGGTCACCTGTATGGGGCCAAGCTAGAGGGCATCACTCCACCCCCCGCCACTGCAAGGCTGTGCATGCTGACTTCAGGGCCAAGGCTCCCAGAGACACGGCGAGGTTGTGGGAGTGTTGTGAGTGACAATGGTGGCTGCCATGGCCAGAGCGGGACCTTGTGACACAGATGAGTAAACTGAGGCCCTCTTGGGCCTCAGCCCTGGACACCCATGTCCTGGTTCCTGCCTTTGGATGCCCATGGCCACCCTGGGTGCTCAGGACCTCTGGCAGTTCCTCAGCCCGTCCTGCCATGATGAACCTGCCCAATAGGCCCTGCCAGGTAGAGGACAGCATGGTGGCAGCCCCGGGGTGGCAGCCTGGTATCCCAGGCTCTTGTCCCTGTGGCCTGTGGGGGTGGGTGGTGCGGCAGTGTGGCACCCTCCTGGGGGCATCAAGCAGGGTGCACATCATGATTTCTCCAGCACAGAGCCTCGAGCTGCCCCCTCACTGCAACCTAGCACATCCTCTAGGGGTCCCCACATTCCCTGGGTGCCGCAGGTAGGGTGGCAAGCTATCTGTCTGGTGCAGGCCCAGGGCACCCTCCAGGCCTGCCACCAGCCTTCACAGCTGTGTACCCCAGCTGAGTGGGAATAAATGCCCTGCCCAGTGCCTCGGGTGTCCTCATGGTGAGACCTGGTGGGGCACCTCCTCCAGGAAGCCTGCCCTGTCACCTCTGAAAGCCCCTCACCCAGCTGAGCACAGCGCTCTGCCCTGCAAGGGAAGGCAGCCTTGGTCAGCCTCACCCATGGCCATTACTGTGCCGACTCTGGGTCTGGGGACCATGGAGGGCTGTGGAATAAATGAAGAAACAGACTCAGGTGAGGGAGTGGCTGGTCAGCTCCACTTCCTGAGCGCTGCAGGTGAGGACCAGCTGAGGAGGAAGCCAGGGTCCTTGGCAGACTGAGGCTGCAGCCAAACCCCGGCTGTACCTGGTACCACACTGGGGCCTTGGGAGCAGGGCTGCAGCCCCTCACACCCTCCCTGGGCTCCAGATGGAGCAGGAAAGAGTTAAGTCCTCTGTGAGCAACTGGAGAAGAAAGTGGTAAACAATTTTTCTCTCCCTTGGCTAAATTAATATGCAAATTCCTAGAGCCCCCTCCACTCCTGTCCCCGCTTTGAAATTAGTGAGGTAGAATGCGCAGGCTAATTATGCATTCAAACGAGCAGGCTGCGTTCTTGCAGTGCTAAGAGGGTGCGGAGAATGATTGTGAGGAGATGGGGCTGACATTCGGCTTCTGCTGCATCTGGAACCGCTGTGTGCGCACAGCAGATGTGGCCGGCGGCCACCCTACCCGGGAGGGGCCTGAAAGCAGAGGTCCGCTCGGCACCCTTGCCTGGGTGAGGGGTGAAGGGAGCCAGCTGACCCTGCTCTCCCTTTTCCCCAGCAGATGAACCCCACATGCCTGCCTTGACGCGCAAAAGCACCCACCAGGCTCTCCAAGGTGCTTTTGTTGTCCTGGTGGGAGCCGTGGGGTTGAGCTGGGCCCGGTCCAGTGTCCTGTGGGCCACAATGGGCAGAGGTCTGCGGCTCAGCAATGGTGCCACCACACGCGTGTAATGTGTGTGTTAGAGGCGAAATCCCCCTTCCTTTCCTTCCCTTCCCTCTCCTGCCCTCCCCTCCCTCCCTCTCTCCCTTCCTCCTTCCCTTCTTTCTTGTGGTACCAGGGATTGAACCCAGGACCTTCACACTGAGCTACATCCCCAGCTCCCCCACCCTTTAAATTTTGAGGCAGGGTTTTACTAAACTGCTGAATTCCCTGGGCTGGGCTCAAGCTTCCGATCCCCCCACCTTAGCCTTAGGGTGGCAGGATTACCAAGTGCATAACTGCACCTGACTCAAAATTTATTTTTCAGTTGAATTTCTCAGTAAAGTGGACATATGAGCAGGAGGAATAGAGACTAGCAGCATGGTACCAGGAACAGACAGAGCAGCGGGTTCAGGAGTTCCGATCCACAAAGCTAAGGACAGGTTCAGCCCGGAATGCCTCCCACCCCAGGTCTCGCTCCTCATCCACCGGTGAGCCCAGCCTGTGCCCGCGACCAGCCTCGGCCTGCTCAGCAGGGACCCTGCCCTGCATGCCCTTTCCTTCCCCACCTCAGGGCCGTTTGGACCGACCCCGAGTCCGGCTCTCTGTGTCTTCCCCTGGCTTCCTGGGTCCTTTTCTGAGGAGGCCTTGTGAGGCTGCCTTTGCTCGAGTGCACGCAGATGGCGGGACTCCGACTCTGCGGTGCCTGTCCAGCTTGTCTCTGGCTCTTGCAGGACAGCGCTGCCCTGGAGCCTTCGCAGCACTGTGGCCTCTGGCCTGGACACTTCGAGGTCTGTCCATTGGGAAGCCAGTGAAGGGACTGGTGAGGCAGCTGGCCTTCTGCTGGACACGCTAGTTTGTAACCACAGAGAGAGAGGCTCCTCTCTGCACTGTGAGCCCAAGAGTGTGGGAAGTCCTGGAAGAATTCCAACGCAAATCTATTCGTAGTGTGAGCAACAGCACCATGTTAGTTGCCACCATTTTCACTATCACTATCACCATCGTCACAAGCCTTGGCATTTTCTGCTCACTTATGTTGTGCTAAACATTGTGCAGACTACTCTGCACACCTTCTCACTCTTGTTGTATTACTGCTATCACCCTTGCTTCGTCTAATTACAGAGATACAGAGATCCTAAGTAGTGACAGAGATGACTTGAACCCAAGTCGTTTGAACACCCAACTCCCAAGTTCATAGCCCATCTTTTACTGCTTCCTGTCCCATAAAGGACACACTTTCCAGGGAGGGGTAAAGGCTGAAGAAGGAGCCCTCGCAGGAGGTCGAGAGGCTACTTTGTGTGCTGCGGCCAGGGCCAGCAATGTGGTAGTCACGCCTGAGTGGTGTGGCACAGAGCAATCCCGGGGCTTCCAGACGATGTGTGTGTTGTCAGGACAACCGAGGAGATTGCAGCAAGCAGAGAGTCCCACCTCTCCTGGGCTATCATTACCGGAGGACTTGAGGCAGCTGGGCTATAGCCTCACAGTATGCTCTCTATAGAAGCCCTTGCCAGGAGGCAAGTTGAGGTGCAGTCACAGAGTATCGCAGACCCCAGAGTCCCCGCTAGAAGACATGGACTGGCCTCTGATGCATGCCCATGCAGCCAAGGCCCAGGGCTGTGATTGGTTCGGTTGCACCCTCTCTGCTGGCCTTGAGTTCCTCATTTATACTTGAGGGTGTTGTACCAGATGCTCTCAGAGGCCCATGGCTAAAGATTTGAGATGCTAAGCCCAGGGTCTGTCCACCATGGCTCCAGAAGTGCCCACTGAAGACCTGTGTGTGCCCAGCACTGACCTGTGAGGGGGAATTGAGTGTGTCCCCAAGGGAAGAGGTTCTCGTGTGACCCTTCTACCCACAGGCGACGCCCCCACCCCTGCCCGGCACAGGCGCCTTGGTCCAGACCTCCGCTTCCTGCTGGACACTCAGCTTTCCAGAGAGGAGAGGGAGCTCTGCAGCCTGCAGGGTCAGCGAACAGCGTAGGTGGGTGGCAATGTGCAGGGTTCGTCAGATGCTGGGGTTCCTGGAGTCACCCTGGAGCGGCAGCATGCAAATGCAGCTCACTCCTCAGACCTGGGCAGACGCTCCTCAGCGGGACAGATCGCTGGAGCCACGCATCTTGGAGCAATCGATAGGGACCGCCAGCTCTGGGCAGCGACAGCAAGTAATAGGCAGGAGAGAGGCGGACAGGTTAATTAGGCCCCGTGTGAGCGGGGTTGGGAGCCAGAGTGTGACCCTGGGCGGGAAGGAAGGACATGGACGTCCAGGGTCCCCAGGCCCTTGTGAGCTGGGCAGGTCTGGCCCCAGTCGCATGTTGGTGGCAGCTGATCGGCAATGGCCCCTTTCCGGATGGGCGACCCCCGGGTAGGCAGTGTGCAGTGCCCACTGTGCACAGAAACCCCGGGAGCGGAGAGGGTCCCTGAAACCTTCCTCGACCGGCCTCCTCCCTGGGGTGCGCAGCCTCGGGGCCTGGGACCAGTGCTTTGACCCTCTGATGGCGACACCTGGCTCGATAATTCTGCGTGAGGCCGTTAATTCTGGTGCAGCTGCCGTGGCCGCCCTTGGGCGCCGGGCTGTGCTGCAAATGAACACCATTTGTTCTGCAGAGCACATTAGTCCTACACCACACGCACAGCTTATCACGGCTCCCTCAGCAGTGTGGGAGAGCGTGACGCGGCGACACAGCCCTGCACCCACCGGGTCACTCATGTCACCGCCCTGTGGGGAGGGCCTCAGGGTGAGGAGGTCCGGGAGGGGTCCGGCCCCGAGGCCAGGGCTCCAGGACACTCAGAACTCCATCCCGGGCTCTGCCCCTGCCACTCTGTGGCCTTGGGGAGCAGTGTGACCTCTCTGAGCCGTCTACCCCAGGACTGGACGGGGCCACCTGGCACAGCTCCTAGCTTGGTCCAGTGACTGGCAGGGTGAAACTTCTCAGCCTTGTTGCTGTAGTGACAGTCATCAGAGTCAGGGACTGCTGAAGACCCAGCCCAGAGCAAGATGGGTGGCTGTCGCTGCAGTGAGTTGGCCGTCCCAAGCCCCCCCAGTGGGGACAGCAGGACCTGGGCAGAGCAGACCAGCTTTGGTGCTGGGAGGGGAGGCACCGGGACACAGTGCAGCAGGGCCTGGGGGTTCCGCCTGCCCATCTGCACCCCCAGGGTAGACCTGGACCTGCCTCCCCTCCTCTCCCTGCCCGGGACGGGACACCCTACCATCTCCCTCCTCCCTGGGAAGCCAGGATGCGGGATCCTTGCAGCTCACCTGGCTGCTGCTCCCTGCACTGCTGCCCGCTCACCCTGTCCCCGGACTCCCTCTGCCGCCCATCTCCTCCTCACCCAAAGTGCAGATCCCAGAGTTGGCAGTGCCCAAGGACCCCACACAGCTGCCAGTGGCCGCAGGAGGGCCAGGCAGCTGCAGTTTCGCAGGGTAATGCTGTGGGATGGAGGACCTCAAGCCTGAGGGGAGTGCAGTGGGACCAGGCCAAACCCCTGCAGGCCCCACACCCTCTTCCACCGATGGCCATGGTCTCCTGGCCCTCTGTGACAGTGGCTTCAGGGTGGAGGTGGTGGGAGGGGCTGTCTCAAACCCGGCAGCCAGTGGCTATGGCTGAGTGGAGCCTGGTCACCACCAGCTGCCTGGGACGCTGAGTGGGAACTGTGCCGCTGGGGTCAACTCAGCAAGTACGGGGACGCAGGCCTGGAGGCGATGCGGACCACACAGCGTGCAGCAGACTGGGCGCACAGGAGTGGTAGACCCCGGGCTGCTGCCCACCACCTCTGTCTCCTGACCCTGCGCCCTCTGTGCCCTCCAGTAGCAGGGCAGCCACGCAGCCTCAGCTTTGCAGTGGGGTGGCGTGTGGTAAGGGGGTTCTTGAGCTCAGGCACGAAGGCCCGACAGAGGACACACCTTGTCATCCATCTGGGGCATAGCCATTTGGAGCAGGAGTGCAGTGGGTGCTTCTCAGGCCTGGGCCCCTGAGTCGCTGCTGACAGTGGCTGAGTCGAGATCTGGCCTCAGGAGAGCTGGGGTGCCAGGGGCAGGCAGTCTGGGCTCAGCCCCTGTGTGTCTGGAAACTCAGGCTGGATGTGAAGGCCACCGGAAGTGCCAGCGCAGGCCAGGCCCAGTCCTCCTGGGCAGCCAGATGGGCACTGGGGTTGGGAGGGAGCCCCTGCAGCCGGGGTGGGCCAGGGGACACTCTGGCCCTCTTGGGCACCGGGACACAACCCTGTGCTCCCCTCACCCCCAGAGCCAGCAGTGTGGCCTGGCGTGACCCCCAGGCGTGCAGAAGCACCACCTGTCCATCGCAGGCGAGGGCCGAATGGCGATGTGGCTGGGGTGCTGGGAGCAGGAACCAGGGAAGCTGCAGAAGGCTTTGTGTCAGAAGGCAGAAGTCTCTATGAATATTTCATCAGGGAGTAACGTGGGGCCCGGAACATCTGGCGGGAGTCTCCTGGGAGCGGACGCCAGCACAGGAGGCAGGCACTGTGAAATGCGGGAGGCGGACGGGAGGAGCGGCTGGGTGGGCATGCGGCCTCCGCAGCCTCCCTCCCTGGGAATCACCACCCAGTGCAGAGAGCAGGCGCTGGGTGCTCTCCCCATGCCAGCCCTGGGCCCTAACTGCTCCTTGTGCCAGGGACAGGGCAGCTCAGGTTGGAGAGTCCAGACAGGGGCACACATGGCCTCAGCAGAGCAGGCCAGGACCTGGCACTGACCACATGACAGAGACTGGCAGTATGTGCCCACCCATGTTAGCAGGGGAGAGAGAGCTGGGCAGGGGCTGCATGGCTGTAGAGCTGGCTGTGCGGAGAGCCGGGGTCACAGCCGACAGTCAGGGCCACTGCAATCCACTGGGCACCCAGTCCAGGGCTCCTGCCAGGCCAGCAAGTGCCCAGTGGGCAAGGGGAAGAGAAGCCTGGGCAGTCCTGCACTCAGATGACTGCCAGGGTCCTGGATACCCCTGTGTCTGACACCCAGTAAGCCACAGACACCTGGCAGATTCCCAGCAGCACCAGGCCTCTACCCAGGGCTCCCAAGGGCCTGGGGTGCTGCTGAGCTTCTGGTCGGGGAGCAGGGGAGCCAGAGCCACCCTGCCCCTGAGGCCCTATTTCTACCCAGTGAGATCCTGAGCTGGAGTCTGTAACTGAAAGGCTGTGAGCTTTTCTTGGTCCCCGAGGCCCAGGGCAAGTGACGAGGGGATGCCAGCCAGTTCCAGGCTGGGGTCTGGGCCTCCCCCAAGGCCTCCTCCCTCCACTGCCTAGCTCCACGCCTCTCACCAAGCCCTCAGCATTGTCTCCAGCCCTGGCCTAAGCCCTAGCCTCTCCTGGGCTTTGGATTTGACTTTCCATTCTCAAAGCCCAGCCCCTTCTTGGCACCCAGTGATGCCCCCACTTCCCACAAGGACACCCTGGTGTGGGCACTGAGGCAGCCGGAGTGTGGCTGTGGTGTCCTCTGCTGTGCCCAGCCTGGCATACGTCCCAGTGCCCCATGGCAGCTCTGTGGGCCCGGTGTTTGGGAAGCCAGGGCGCTGGGCACGGGGACTGGTACTGCACCCTGCCCACTCCATGCTGGCCCACCCAAGGCCACCCACATGCTGCAGCCCACCCGCACACACTCTCTGCTGGCCTGTGACTGTGGGAAAGGGACAAGGCTTTGTCCTTGGAGCCGCCTGGAAAGCCCCCACCTTGGGCCCCTCACTGCCAAGTCCACCCCGCCTGCATCCTCAGCAGCTGGCTCCTTGGCACCAATGCCCAGACCCGAGTTGGCAGCACATTTGGCTTCAGTCCCGTTGATCAGCACATAGACAACGAGGTGCCAACCCAGGCTGTGGGCAAGGACGGGGCTCTGGGGAGATGGGAGCGGAGGGGCGGCGCATCGCTGGCTGCTCTGGACTCCGGTGTGGCCCCCGTGTCTTCCACCCCCTGCTTGTCAGAGGAAGCGCACGGCATCCACAGGCAACTTGGGACCTGGGAGCCCACGGGCATCGGGTGGCGGCACCACCGCGGTGCGACCTGCTTCCTCAGGCGCGGCTCCCTGGTAAACAATGGGCACCAGCCCCAGGGCGGCACTGGGGGCCCAGAGGCTGCTCTGCCCTCAGAGCTGGCCGGGTGCCGGTGCCCATGCCCTGTGGGCATGACTGTGCCCACACGCGGCCCGCCCAGCATAGGACCCGCTCTCAGCAGCACCCGCCACAGATGCCAGGCGCCTGTGCCCGAGAGCCGCACGCAGCCAGTACCTGTGCCTGCCGCTCCTCTCCAGCTCCTGGCCCTGCCCTTGGCCGCACGCTGCCACCTCCCGACGTGGCTCCAGTGGCTCCAGCAATCGCCACAGTGCTGTCTGTGGCTCTGGTCCCTGGCAGCCTGGTGTCCACTGCTCTCCACACCGCCCTCACCTCGTCTGCTCCCCGGGCCTCTGGAGCCCCGTGTGCTGTGCAGAGGGAACTTGGCAGGGATGGAGCCGGCCCGCCTCTGCAGCTGATGTAGCCACGTTTCTGTTTTTTGTATTTTGAACACACACACACACACAGTCTCACACACACACATGCTGGGCCCCCACCCCCGCAACACGCGTTCCTTCTGTCGGGAGCAGACCCAGCCAAGAAAGCCCCGAGCAGCGGGCAGAGGGAGGGCTTCGCAAGTGAGCGGTGGCACCAGCCTGCGCTGTCCCTTCCTGTCCGCATCCTGCTCCTCCTACACAAACCGCCAGGAAGCAGGAAACAGCAGTCTGGGCCACATTGGCGCCTCCTGATTGGGTGCACCTTTGTACCGCCCAGCTTGGCCCCCAGGCCCTGTGCCCTGCTGGCCACCCACCTCCCACCACTGTCACCTGCCGCCACAGCCAGCCATCTCGCCTCCTGACGCCCCGCCCGTGCAGGGTGTTATTTTTGAGTGCTGGCCGCAGCATCACACAGAGGGTACGTGGCCAAGAGAGCTGAGGCTGCCTGTGGCCCAGCCAGGCTGCTGTTAGGGCACAGCCCAGAGTCCTGCCTAAGTCTGGGTTGCAGAGGAGGTCCCCAGGGCTCTGAAGCCAGCCCTGGAAGAGCACAGGGGCTACGGAGAGGCACCGGGGAGGGCTGCTCCCACTGCAAGCCCAGAAGGGTTGGGGTACAGGGGTGTGTCTCCCCCAGCACCCCCTCCTCCTGCCCCCCGCCCCCTCCAGGTCCTTGACAAACTGCCCACCTTCCCTGAGGACAGGGCAGGCTACAGCAGCCTCTTCACCCGGTCCTTGGCCTGGCTCAGTGTCCATTTGGAAGCTTGGGCCAGGTGGGAACCCAGACTCCGGGCTGTCGCCCGTCCATGACTGGTCACCCCAAGCTTCGTGTTGCTTGGACTTACTCTGCTTCCCCCAACCCCAGAACCAAACTGAGACCCAAACTGTGTCCCGGACTGGCCGTGGCTGGTCGGTAATTGCTGATCCCCAGCTGCCTGCCGGTTCCGCCTGCTCCTCTCCTCTCCTCCACCCTGTGACCCCAGCAGCCCCTGCCCGGTCTGAGGTCACTTCCCCTGCAGTCATGGCCACCATCTCCCCTCTCTAAGGCTGAGTGCTTTCTGTGCTCCGGCCCCCCGGTGACCCTGACAGCGGCTTCTCACTTTGACTCCCAGGACTTCCTCTCAGGTGCACTCGGCCCCGAGGATGTGACCCGACCTCCGGCCTCCTGCAGGCCCAGCCGTCCCTGTGTTCACGCTGAGGCGCCTGCAGTCCCTGACGCAGGAATCAGTGTCCCTCCCGTCTCGGCCACTGCCGCACCTGTGGAGAAACATGCACCACACCACAGTGCCGCGAACCGTTTACCACACACGGTTCAGTGGCCTGTGGCTCGTCCACAGTGCTGTGCGGCACAGCTGTCTAGTTCCAGAAGGTTCTCCTCACTCAGAGAGAGACCAGGGCCATGAGCAGCAGCTCCCTGGCCCACGCCCGCCCAGCGCGTGTCCCCCAGTCCTCCTCGGTGGCGCCAGGCAGCCTCGGCTCGGGGATGTGGCCCATGGGCTGTGGCCACTGGGGACACCTGCAGTGGGCGTCGCGGGGCTGGGCTCCCCTCCGCTGCACCCCCTCCTTGTTCCCAGCGTGCTGAGACGAGCACAGCCCAGGGGCTGCGGCTACACGGGGAGCCCTGTGCCCTATGCTTTGCCAAGAACCTTAAACCCTGAGATCCTCGGTCACATCCTGCTCAGATGGAGTAAAATGAGATTGCTGGCTGCTCAGTGGGAGCAGCAGGTGTGGACAAGGGAGGAGAAGCTAGTGAGGTGTCCAGCCGGGTGTGGCCAGGGTGCCCTTGGGTCTGGCCTCAGAGCCACAGCAGGGACACAGATGGCCACGGGAAGCACGGTCCCCTTGTCCCCATGTGTGGTGTGTGCTCGGCCCACCTGGCCCCTCCCCAGGGCGCTGTCACCCTGAAGATGAGCCGAGCTGGGGCCGCCCAGTGGGCACACCAAAGGGAAGGTGCCGCCGTGTGGGAGTGCACGCGGGTGTGGATTGCGTGGAACACGTGGGAGCCTGAGGATGCATGTGTGTCCAGGAGCATTGCTGGTGTGCGTGGAAGGTGCGTGTGTGGCCGGGGCTGGACTGGGCAGGCGACACACCCTCTTCGGGGCAGGAGGGGCCCTGTTGGGACATGCGCTTTCCTCCAGCCTCTGGGTAAATGTCAGGTAAACTGCAGACCAGGGAAGGGGACCTAGAGCCCGAAGCTGAGCCCGGCAGGCTAGGGAGCAGTGAGCGTCCTGGCAGCCCTTGGCTGGCAAAACCTTCCCTTGGTCCTGCCAGGTACCCATTTATTTTCCATTCCCCGGTGTTTGTTTCTAGCTTTGGCTTTCTTGTTGTATGTGATCGCCTTGGTTTGGATCAGAGGGTTACTATATGTGTGAAATAAGTCGGAATCCGTATTCCTTGACTCTTTTGAAGAAAATCATCAAACTTGTGCCTCTTTTGGAGGAACTGTTTAACCAATTTTCAGTCTCTTTTTCTGTTGTGGTTATTTGCTTGTATTTTCTACTTGTCAGAAGATCAGCTTTTGTTATATACATTTCCCTAGAAAACTGTGTTTCAGTAATATTTTAGAATATGCTGGTATAGAACATGCATATTCCCTTGTGATTTTCTCGCTTTGTTTTTTGAGACAGGGTCTCTCTACATAGACCAGGCTGGCCTTGAACTCGCTGTGTTCCCCCTGCCTCAGCCTCCCGAGAGCTTGGAATACAGGTGTGCACCACCACCCTGGGCTTCCTTGTGGCTTTTAAAGTCTTTGTGTTGGTAGCTGCCTCCCCTTTCTTCCTCTTTGTGTGTACCTGTGTGTGTCTTTGCTGGGCTACATCCCCAGCCCTTTTTATTTTATTCTTTTCTTTTGAGGCGCGGGCTCGCTCCACAGCACAGGTGAAACTCACTTGCAATCCTCCCTCCCGCCCCAGCCTCCCAAGCTGGGATGGCAGGTGTGCCCCCATGCCCGGCATGCTTGGTATTGCAGCGTTTTATCTTCCGAGTTTCGCTAGGTAGAAGTGTTCGGTGATTTTATTGTTTGCTGCTTACTTAATCAAGAGGTTTTGCAAGTGCCTCAATCAATGCCACTTTCTCTCTAGTTCCTCTTTCCTACTTTACCTGTATTCATTTCCTTCTTTCCTCGCCTGCCTCCCCTGCCTCTGGCTTGCATGCCTCCCCCACTTCTAACAGTGACAGTGTCCCAGACGCCCGTGCCGTACCCAAGGTGGAAATCTAGGAGTCTCTCCGTTTCCCTTTTATCGAAATGCTGACTTTTTTCCTTCCAAATTGAGAACTGTAACAGAGCTTCCATCGCTGATTTTCTGCGTCAGGGCCTTGTGCGCTGGCTGAGGGCTGGCCGTGGCTTTCCCTGCATGCATCGGGCGCCGAGGCTCTGTGTCGGCTCCAGGTGTGGCCACCCTGGCCCGCCTTCCCCAGCACCTGAAGCCCAAGCTGAAGGAGAGTTTCCCGAAGGGGAGGTGCAGGGGCTAAATTTAGCCCCACTTAATTAACTTGATTAGTAATATTTCTCAGTTCCTCTGATTTTTTTATTAATTTGATTAGTCAAAATCTGAGAGAAGTGTGCCAGAGGTATATCACCTCTGCTCTAGCGTCATCTTCTACAGATTTGCTTTATGTATTTCAGTGCTACTGTCGTTCATCTAACAAGTCGTTATTGTACAACTAGCAGGCCGAGGGAGGCCTCCCAGAACAGCTTCGCACCCAGCCTCTCAGAGGGACATCAGAAACCACCAGAACTCAACCGCGATGAGAGGCATCACCTGGGTCCACAGGTGCTTGTCCTGGAGAACTCGACCCAATGGGGTGGGGGGAGCGAGGAGGACAGGACGGAGCATAGGGAGGGGCGTTCCAGCACCTCACCAAAGCCAGACAAAAGCCGCACAGAAGAGCAGGCCAGGCTGGCGTTTCTCACAAATTTACACGCAGAAGTCTCAGCAAAATATGGGTGAATAGAATCCAACAACTCGTAGAATTGACACGGCGACCAAGTAGATTTATCCCACCTGTGCCGGTGTTGCTCAAGCTTCAACAGCCAGTCTTTAGCTAAAGGAGCATCTGGCAAAATCCACATCGCAGCACTCAGCACCTAGCGGCACGCGCCCAAGGAGAGGGAAACCAGGGCCGCAGGGATAATTGCCCTGCTGTGTGCAGCAAAGCACTGTGCACAACACAGACACACGGGCCTGGCCTGTGTCAGGTAAGTGAATTAAGCCAGGCCTGCTGGTTCACTCTAGAGGATGAGGTGGGAAGTTCCCAAGTTTGTGCCCAGCCTGGGCAAGTTAGCCACTTGAAATAAAAAATAAAAAGGGGCGGGGATGTTGCTCAGTGTGAAGGCCCTGGCTTCAATCCCCAGTATGAAGAAGAAAATGTGGTGAGTATACATATGGAATACTGTGCAGCCAGAGAGAGAAATCTTGTCATTTGTGACAGCAGGAATGAACCCAGAGTACATCAGGCTGAGTGACATAAGCCAGTACAGAAAGACAAGAGCTGCATGGTCCAGAGCTGGGATGATGGTGCACACCTGTAATCTCAGCACTTGGGAGGCTGAGGCAAGGGGATTGCTGTGAGTTCAAGGCCAGCCTGAACTATATAGTGAGACCCTGTATCAAAAAACAGTAATAATAATAATAATCATAAGCTTTTAATGGATACCCACCAAGAGGGAAAAGAAAAAGTCCTATTAAGGGTCTCTGTCCTGATCTTACACACACAAACAGAGCTTGGGCTGGAATTTAAAGAGAGCTCAGCCAAGTGTGGTGGTGCATGCCTGTGATTCCAACACTTAGGAGGCTGAGGCAGGGGGATTGCTGCAAGTTTGAGGCCAGCCTGAGCTACATAGTGAGAACCTGTCTCAAAAAACTAAGAAAAATAAAAGCTGCATCGTCTCACTTATAGACAAGACGTGGAACTCACAGAAGAGAGCTTGGAATGGTAGCCACTGGGGGCCGGCTGGGAGGGAGCAGAGGAGACGAGCAGGAAGAGTAATGCGGATTTACCTGGGTCCGCAGAGGACGCAGGAGGGCTGCACAGTCCTGGGAAAGGCGGAGAGCGCAGGGGTCGGTCCAGGCGGCAGCTCTGATGGTCACTACAGTGACAGCACGTGTCACAGGGAGCAGCAGGCAGCTCGGCTCTGACTGAGGGGTGGCGTCGGTGCTGGGGAAAGGGGACTCTGCTTGCCTCGCGGCCACGCAGATGCACTCCAAAGGGTCTGGAACAGGCAGGCCGCGGAGCGCAGACTCAAAGCCATGG